TAGGTATGGTCGGTAAGGGCCATGCTGAGATCAAGGAGGGGGCCCTGGCCTTCGAGAGCCGCTCCTCGGCTCGAGCCCGCGAGATGGCCTACTCGTGGCCGAAACTCGTCGTGGTAAGCAACCCCCCTTCGAGGAGGAGGAGGAAGAGGAGGAGGAGGAGGAGGAGGAGGAGGGGGAGGAGGAGGAGGAGGAGGAGGAGGAGGAGGAGGAGGAGGAGGAGGGATCCCCGCCACTCCCAGGGGAAGGACGATAGGGGGGATAGGCATAGGGGAAGGTGCGTCGACCCCCAGTCGCACACTGATCGCCGATAGGGGCCTGATAGCCCCAACCTGCCCAGGAAGGTGTGGATTCACTATCGGAGGCCGCGATGTATCGCCGATTCCACGTCGATTCATCCTCCCCTATGCCAGTCCCTCCGTAACGTTGCCCCTCAGTAGGGGATTGACTACAGAATTGATTGGCCCCGACTTGATTTGTTCGTCAAGTCCGTGAGAAATGCGTAGAATGTCCGTAGAACTACGATCATGCTACGTAGGACCCGATGAGAAAATTCCATTTGGGGGAAACCAATTCTGCAGTCGATCCCCTACTCGATTCTTTTTCACCGCTCCTCATGATAGGCCGATGATTGGTATCGCACCCCCTCGGGACAGAGTGTGCCCCCCACCCCGCCCAGGAACGCTTGGTCGTGCCATCGGGGGCCTGTCGCCGATCTGCCGGCGATTTACCGCCGACTCCGAGCCGTCGCTTTGTTTTTTATTCCAAAAGGGCGACGGCTCTGCTCGTCCCGCCCACATGGGCGCGGCTCTACCCGCAGTAGAGCCGGATGGACGCTCGCTCGCTCGCTCGCTCGCTCGCTGGTGGTCTTCGGTTCAGAACTCAGGCATCATCCGGCGGCCCTTCGGGAGGGTCCAGGAATCCCCAGAACGCCCTCGTCCAGGCGCAGCCGCTGGAAGGCATCCCGAGGCTGGAGAGCCGCCGAGAACCAACGGAGGCGCCCGAAAGCCTCGAGCCTCAAACTTGTCGTTCCCCCCCAGGACAGGGTCTGCCTGCTCGGCCGCAGCTTCCGAGAGCGCCACTGCCGCCCTTATTGGGTGTCGCGTTTCCTCTTCTTCCCCGCGGTGCAGGACCCGCGGTCGAGGAGCTTTCGGCAGTGGTCCCGGGTCTACTACGCGTTCATGGCCCTCTCGACGATCCTCTCGACGCGTGCTGGCCCAATGTGTGCTTAGACTCTGCCCTGACTCCGGATCCGCCCTACTCTGGGGACATTCGAAAGTAGGGTTTGAAATTTCCGCCTTACTTTTCAAGCCCCGCTGATGCCAGTTTCCGCCCTACTTTTCTGTGGCTGTTTCCGCCCTGCTTCCGTGGATTTCCGCCCTATTTTATGTTGGGTGCAGATATTTCAGCCCTACTTCTTCGGCTTCTTCTAGGTGGATATCCGACGCAATTTTAAGTTGGAAGAAGGAGCCAAAGTAAGGCGGATCTGGAGTCAGGGTGGCCACCTCGACGAAGACGGCATCGGCACAGTCGGTCGGAGCTCCGCGCGGAGTCCTTGGATCTGCGCTGGAGCCCTTCGGCGGCGCCTCTGGCGCGGCCCCTGGCGCGCTCCCACGCCAGGGAGGGCAGTTCGTCGCAGATCCAAGACACCCGCGCGGGGCTTCAAAAGTTTATCCTGATGCGGTTGGTTCCTCCTCCATCCGCTCATCTCCGCCGCTTGCACGCGGCCTGCGGCTGCACTCGCTGCACCGCCTGCGTCGTACGGAAGGGCTTCGGCTTCCAAGCACACGTTGGCGCCAGCGCACGTTCTGAGGATCGTCGGCCCTCGCGTGCATCCTGTTCGGGTACACGATGGTGTACACGCTCAACAAGATGCTGCTCCTCCAGGGTGCCCAGCCGGACTGGGCCCTGCCCCTGCCGGCGCCGCACAAGGTGCCAGGCGCGCTCGAGGACAGCAGAGTCCTCCTCCTCCTCCTCCTCCTCCTCCTCCTTCTCGTGGTCAAATGGGTACGTGCCAAGCGCCGTGATACTAAAGTTCGTGCTGGTTGGAAGTCTCTGGAGGCCCCGCTTCGACGGCTTCGAAACCGTCTCGTCGACATCAAGTTCGTCGCTTCGAAGGCGGACACTAACCAGTTAGAGTATTTGGTGGCGGGCCTGCAGGACTCGTCAAAGGAGTTTGCTTCGGTCGAATATTTGAAGCAGCTGTTGGCGACAGCATCGCAGCTCGGAGAATTTCTCCTTGCTGACGCAGCCGCTGGAGCGCTATCCGCGGGCACAGCCGACCAGGCTATAAACGATATTCTCCAGGACCTGGACCGAGCCATAGACAGCGAACGGAAACAGCAACATTCCGAATCGGCCAAAGCCTGGGCCTCGTGGGTCCAAAGTTCCCTCCAGGGAGGAGTCGGATGGGCCCACAGATGGACGATTAGCCTGGAAGCCTGGAAGCCAGCATCAACCCTCGTCAAGGGACGATGGTCAGGTCGCCCAAACAGCATTCTAGAAGGGGAAGCCGACCGACTTGTCAGTATCTGGGACATTTCGGCCAAGCCACAAGATAATCCAGTTCCAAGGGACATCGACGACAGAATGGCCCTGGGACCGATGGACGGCAAGACCCTTCAGGAAGCAGCTAGGAGTTTTTCAGTGACGACAGCTTCAACGTGGGACGGAGTCCACCCGAGGCATCTCACGCTCATCGCTGAACAGCAGGCAGACATTGTCGCGCAGCTATTATTCCTCATCGAGAGCCTAGGTTTCATGCCCTCCCAGATACAGGCTATACTATCAGTACTTATCACGAAGCACAAGCAGCAAGATCCGCAGGCAACGAAGCCAGCAATGAGATCGATCGGAATGGTGTCAGGCCTGTATCGCGCTTGGGCTAGAATAAGACAGTCAGCAGCGAGAGAATGGGAACGGAATCGCAGGCGCCCATTCCTCGCTCACCAAGCAGCGCATTCCATAGTGGAGCTTGTTTTCAAGCAGAGTCTAGATTGCGAGTGTTACTCCAAGCGTAACGAACAACTACATTCAGCCATGGTTCTCTACGACCTCAGAAACTACTATGAACACACTAACCGCAGCAAGGTTGCTACCCGAGCCCTTCGTAGAGGTTTCCCCGCCACACTGCTCAGGATCATCCTGGGAATTTTTGCGAGTCCCAGAAATGTAAAACTCCAGCACCTGGTGATGCCGGTGGGTCACACAGCACATGGCATAGCAACGGTGTGGGTTTGCAACATACCTCATACAGATGTACACGATAGACCCCCTGGACTCCTGGACCCAGCAGAACCCTATGTAGACCTCTACATGTTCATAGGCGATATCTTCTTAAAGAATAATGATTACAAGATCTGCCGCATCGCCAGCCGCCTGAACCGCGGCACCCAGAGCCTGCTTGATAGCATCCAGACCAAGATCGCTCCCGCCAAGACTCAGCTCTTCGCTTCTTCAGACCAAGTGCGCCGCCAAGCGCAGCGCAGACTGCAAGCCAGAGCAGGCAGCACAACGGACATTTCGGGACCCAACCTCGGCTGCGAGACCGCAGCAGGTGCCCCCCCGCGCAGGTGGAGAAAGGAGCGAGTAGCCAAAGCCAGGATGGACATAATCAAGGAGAGGATGAAGAGACTCGGAGCCATCAGGAGAACTGGAGGGGATACTCGCAAGATCTACAACACGGGCATATTTGCGGCAGCCTCTTTCGGCCACGAGGTCACGGGCCTCAACAGCAGCCAGCTGGCCAGTGCGACCCGACCTAGGAGCTGGAGCATCTAGGAAAGCAACATCTACATCTACACCGACAGCTACATTTACAGCAACATCAACAGCGAAAGTCACATCTACATATACATCTACACCTACATGCTATGCTATGCTATGCTATGCTATGCTGCGCTATGATATGCTATGATATGTTGCGCTATGATATGGTGTGCTATGTGATGCTGCGCTATGTTATGCTATGCTAGGCTATGCTAGTATATGCGATGCTGCGCTGTGCTATGCTATGCTATGGTATGCGATGCTGCGCTATGATATGAAATCATATGCTATGATAGGCTGCGTTGTGCTAGACTATGATATGATATGTTATTATATGATATGGTGTGCTTTGCTATGCTGCGCTAAGCTATGCTATGATATGTTATGTTATGCTATGCTGCGTTATGCCATGCTGCGCTATGATCTGATATGATAATGCTATGATATGATATGCTATGTTATGCGAATGCTGCGCTAAGCGAGGCTGCGCTAAGCTGAATTAGAGCTAAGCTAAGCTAGGCTCGGCTAAAGCTAGGCGAGGCTCGGCTAAGCTAAGCTAAACTAAGCTAAGTTAAGCTCGGTTAAGCTAAGCGAAGCTACGCTAAGCTAAGCTAAGCAAGGATAGGCCAGGCTAAGCTAAGCTAAGCTAAGCTAGGCTTGGCTAAGATGAGATAAGCAACTCTAAGCTAAGGGGACGCAGCTGGGTGAACCGCGGGGCGGATCCTGGGGGAACCGCCCGGGGCGCGTTCCACTGCCCGGCCTTTTTTAAGCCCAGAGAGTAAGAACCCTTCTAGGCAAAGCCTAGGTAGGGAAATAGCAAGACCCAAATGTGCCACGAGAAGCAGATGCCTGAGCCTCCTTCTGATCGGTGACCCCACGTGGAAACTTGCCCTAGGACCCGCTCTCGTTTCGCATTTCATAGTGCGGTCGGCCACCACCAATCCAGCCCAAGGCCTCGCGCCCCTACCCGTCCCCCATCGCATAGGCTGGACCCTGGTTTCCCTTTTGTAATTCAAGCCTCAGGAGGACAGCAATATCCTCCAACGTGTTTCTCGCCAGCCTCTGCGCAACAGAAAATGCAGCAAGCCTGGCAGCGATTTGGCCAGGCCAGGTGGGCAACCTGTACACCCAGAGCTCGGGTGTGGCGAAGATGACTGCAATCATAGCTGCGTGCGCCATCTCGCCCTTAGTTACCCAGGTCCACACGGACCACACGGGTGCGATTGACCTCTTTCAGTCTCCTGGATACCCCAGGAAGAATCAACATGCAGGGTTCAAGGTTCTGGCGGGCAAAGCTGTCTCGCCGCCGTCTACTCGCCTCGTGAAGGCGAATGCCCGCCAGAATCGAACCCTGGATTTTGACAGCAATCATGATTAAAACCATCCTTTAGGTAACGATGCAGCGGACAAAGCAGCCAAGCGAGCCGCAGCAACCCTTTGTCAGCCATCCTAGTCGGAGCTGGAGCAGAGTAGTTTCGACGACCAAAGCATGCTGCGACGGTTTTTGCTTTATGTTGCTAGGGCCCTCCCTAAGTGGCCAGCGCTGGCCACGAAAGCGGGCAAGAAGTCCCTGAGCCGTCCAGCCAGTAAGAATCCGCCCATCGGAGCAGCCCCGGCGGAATATGCCTGGGACCTTGGGGCCACCCCTCCTCCTCCGAGGCCCCCTCGCCTCCACCCCTCCGAGCCCCCAGGGCCCGTCGGCGAGCGCCACCGTCGGGAATATATCCGCGGCACGTTTATTTGCGCCCTATGCCGAGTCAGGGCCAAGACCCAGGACCAGTACCTCAAGCGCCCAGATGAAAAATGTCCTGGGCATTGCGCGGGCCCAGCCTCGCTAGCGCGAAGACCCAGAGGCCATCATATTTCGATGTTTGAGTACGTGCACAATTCCAGCACGATGATTATTTGTCGCTCCTGCGGGTCCTATTCGGAAACAGGCACCCGCGGCGGTTTATTCCAAGAGTGTCCGCGGGGACCTTCGTCGAACAATTCAAGCGGCCAGCTAGCCCGCGCCCTGGAGCTAAGACGCCCGAGGAGTGGAAGGGATTCCGCCTCCGTTTTTTCGCCCCCAGAGCCACTCGAGCAATTTTATCGAAGAGCCATCGAAGTTGCGCAACAACTGCCCAGCGAGGCAGATCAAGCCCAGGTGCAGACAGGCTCACACCAGGGATGAGGCTTGCCCATCGTCCTGGCGTTTCTTGCACCAGGGGTGGGCAGTGCCGAGTCGTCCTGGCGTCGCCTCACTCTTTGTGTACATGTGCGCGCGTGCGTGCGCGCTCCCCGCGCGCGCGTCAGGCTCCCCGCTTCAGGGGGAAGGAGCGCCCACTCACCTTCCTGCGGCACAGGCCGCAGACGCGCCTTGGCGCGATGCAGGTTCGATCTGGGGCGTTGTTTCTCGAACCGACTGGCGGTGCAGGTTACGCAGCCTGCCCTCGTACCCGAGCTCTGGGGCACCGCCAGCCTGTCGAGACATGCCGTCCTTTTCGCTGCAGAGTGCCGTTTTGGCGACCTACTGCGTGCTGTTTGCGCGCGCGTCCTGCTCGCGTGTCAGGCACCCCGCCTCAGGGGGAAGGAACGCCGCACATTTATTTCTCCCTACTGTCTCGACGGTGCTGGTTACGCAGCCAGCATTGTACCCGAGCCTTGGGGTACCGTCAACCAGGAGGGATCTCACGGGGGGCCCTGAGCACGGGGGTGGACTCGGGTTGCCAGTCCGCCCCGACAGTGGCTCAACCCCCTCTCGGTGCTGCTGCGGCCCAGTGCGCAATGCCACACCAGGCCCCAGCACCGCATTCAGCGTCGGCAGCGCACTGCCGTCTCAGCGGCCAAGGCCGCTGTGGAGCACAACATGTGGCCTAGTGCCATGAGGTTTCGTGTTAGGGTCGGGTCGGCCAACCCCTAGCCTCCCCTTGGCCAGGTGATGGTCCTCCTCCTCCTCCCTCATCCTCCTCCATTCCTCCTTCCTCCTCCTCCTCCTCCTCCTCCTCCTCCTCCTCCTCCTTCCATCCTCCTCCTGATCCTCCTCCTACCTCCTCCTCCTCCTCCTTCTCTTCTCCTCCTCCTCCTCCTCCTTTCTCCTCCTCCTCCTTCCTCCTCCGCCCTCCTCCTCCTCCTCCTCCATCCTCCTCCTCCTCCTCGTCGTTCCTCCTCCTCCTCCTTCTCCTCCTCCTCCTCCTCCTCCTCTCCTCCTCCTCTCCTCCCTCCTCCTCCTCCTCCTCCTCTCCTCCTCCTCCCCCCCCCCTCCTCCTCCTCCCTTCCTCCAGTTTCTTTCTCCTCTTCCTTCCTCTCCTCCTCCTCCTCCTCCTCCTCCTCCTCCTCCTCCTCTCCTCCTCCTCCTCCTCCAGTTCCTCCTCCTCCTCCTCCTCCTCCTCCTCGTCCTCCTTCCTCCTCCTCCTCCTCCTCCTCCTCCTCCTCCTCGTCCCTCCCTCTCCTCCTCCTCCTCCTCCTCCTCCTTCGTCCTCCTCCTCCTCCTCCTCCTCCTCCTCCTCCTCCTCCTCCTCCTCCTTCCTCCCCTCCTCCTCCTCCTCCTCCTCCTCCTCCTCCTCCTCCTCCCAGACGGGGTCCGAGCAGATGGAGTCGGAGGACCGCGCCGAATCACCGATGCATCGGCGATGCGGCTCGATGTGGAGTCCGATTTCCTCCCCGACGACGTTCATCGCCAATGCATCGCCGATGCGGCGCAGCCCTCCGACCCTGTCAATCCGAACCCCAGCTAAGACGCCTCTAAACTGAGCGCCTTCCGGCGAGACCTGCCTGGTCGTAGCCGGCGAAGAATGGTAGAGTGTAAGCTGTTTCGCCGTCGGGGACGCTTGTCCCAGGGCGGCCGGGAAGTTTACAGAGACGGGCCCCGAGGTCTTTGGCCGTTTTGGGCTCCCCGGGGCCCTCCACGGGCCCCGGGACTGGCAGAGAAAACGGCTCAGGAGGAAGATTCCGTCCTGGGGGAAGGTCCTGCTCCTCCTCCTGCTCCTCCTCCTCCCTCCTCCTCCTCCTCCTCCTCCTCCTCCTCCTCCTCCTCCTCCTCCTCCTCCTCCTCCTCCTCCTCCTCAAGACGGGTCCAGGATCCGTCTCCCTCAGGATCCGTTTCCCTCATGCTGACACTCACAAGAGCGGACGTTCAGTGCGAGTGCGCAGGGGCCTCGCGGCCTATCCAGTCGAACCGCCATGGGATACCTGTACCGTGTCGCCAGCGATTGGAGGTCTGTACTTGAAATGAGAACGGCCGGCATCATCGCGTCCACGGCATTGGTGGTGGGGTTTTTTCGCTTTACGTAGCGTGTGTTCATAGTCAGAGTGAGGGGGCTGAACCGAACAATCGTTCACTGTCCCTGGGTGCGTGGCTGAAGTGGAATTCCGCGATGCGGATTTGTGTTGTTGTTGTTGTTGTTGTTGCTGTTGTTGTTGTTGTTGCTGTTGCTGTTGTTGTTGTTGTTGTTGTTGGTGCTGGTGTTGGTGCTGGTGTTGGTGTTGTTGTTGTTGGTGGTGGTGTTGTTGTTGTTGGTGTTGATGCTGTCGTTGTTGCTGTTGTTGTTGTTGTTGGTGGTGGTGTTGCTGTTGTTGTTGTTGGTGGTGGTGTTGTTGGCGTTGTTGGTGTTGTTGTTGCTGTTGCTGTTGTTATTTGTTGTTGTTTGTTGTTTGTTGTTGTTTGTTGTTTGTTGTTTGTTGTTGTCGTCCCACCCGCGACCCGCCCCGCGACCCACCCGCGACCCACCCCGCGACCCACCCGCGACCCGCCCCGCGACCCACCCGCGACCCACCCCGCGACCCACCCGCGACCCACCGCGACCCGCCCGCGACCCACCCGCGCGACCCACACCGCGACCCACCCAAAATTTTCGGCGCCTGCGGCGGGCTTCTTTTGCATTCGTTCCAGGTGGAGAACCTGCGACCCACCCACGACCCAAACCGCGTTCAGTGTACATATCAAAATTTTCGGCGCCTGCGGCGGGCTGTTTTTGAATTTCTTCCAGGTGGAGGTAGAGAGCCCGCAACCCACACGCGACCCAAACTACGTTCGCTGAACAAGCCAAACTTCGGCGCCTGCGGCGGGTTTCTTTTGCATTCGTTCCAGATGGAGAACCTGCGACCCAAACCGCGTTCAGTGTACATATCTCAATGTTCGGCGCCTGCGGCAGGATGTTTTTGAATTTCTTCCAGATGGAGGTGGAGAGCCCGCGACCCACCCGCGACCCGGAGGAGGAGGAGAAGGAAAAGGAGGAAGAGGAGGAGGAGGAGGAGGAGGAGGAGAAGGAGAAGGTGGAGGAGGATGAGGCGGACGACGACGACGATGAGGACGAGGACGCGGACGAGGAAGAGGAGGAAGAGGAGGAGGAGGAGGAGGAGGAGGGCGCCATCGACAGGGAAGGTGAGGACCACGAGGTCCGCCGGCACGACGCCCGCGTCGCCCGCGCCCACCCCCTCTCCCTTATCCGCACTTGCGGGGTGCTACGTATTTCGAGCAGGGGTGTTTTGGAACATGCAATGTGGGCTGAAACATGGAATTAGGGAACACACAAGAAGCCTCTGATGCAAACACTGTTTGGGATGATGCATTATACGCGTGCCTAGACATGGCGTCATCGAGCCCGTAGCGCCATGCACCATGCAAACACCCTGCCCGACAAACAAATTCGCCGGCCCAACGGGCCAGAGGCGTGCTAAGATCTCCGGTAACTGGTAAACAGTATTTCTGGTTCGCGCGCGCGGGGCGGCCCCTGGGGGTCCCTGGATCAAAAGTACCCCGGGCGGAGCCCGGGACACGCCCGGGACACGCCCCGGACACGCCCCGGACACTCCCCCAGATCCTCCAGGATCGCCCCAAGAGGGCCCCAAGAGGCCCCCAACACAATCCAAGAGAGGTCCGAGACGCCCGAAGATCGCTCCACGGCGCCCAAGATGGCCTCCAGACGGCCCAAGAGGTCTCCAAGATGACCCAACAAGCCTCCAAGATGCCCCAAGAGGCCTCCAGGAGCACTCCCAAGAGGGCCCCAAGAGGCAAAAATCAATGTTGTTTCTTAGGTTTTGGACAGATTTGGGCGTTTCAACCTTTTCGGTTCCCCGACGCCCTAAACGGCTCAAGAGGCCTCCAAGATCGCCCCAAGAGGGCCCAAGAGGCCCTCAAAAGGGCCCCAAGACGGCCCAAGACGGCTCCAAGACGGCCCCAGAGGCCTCCAAGGTCCAAGAGAGGTCCGAGACGCCCGAAGATCGCTCCACGACGCCCAAGATGGCCTCCGGACGGCCCAAGACGTCTCCAAGATGGCCCAAGAAGCCTCCAAGATGCCCCAAGAGGCCTCCAAGAGAACTCCCAAGAGGGCCCCAAGAGGCAAAAATCACTGTTTTTTTCTTAGGTTTTGGACAGATTTGGGCGTTTCAACCTTTTCGGTTCCCCGACGCCCCTAAACGGCTCAAGAGGCCTCCAAGATCGCCCCAAGAGGGCCCAAGAGGCCCCCAAGAGGGCCCCAAGACGGCCCAAGACGGCTCCAAGACGGCCCCAGAGGCCTCCAAGACGGCCCAAGAGGGCCCCAAGAACGCCCCCAACACGGTCCAAGAGAGGTCCGAGACGCCCGAAGATCGCTCCACGACGCCCAAGATGGCCTCCAGACGGCCCAAGACGTCTCCAAGATGGCCCAAGAAGCCTCCAAGATGCCCCAAGAGGCCTCCAAGAGAACTCCCAAGAGGGCCCCAAGAGGCAAAAAACTGTGTTTTTCCTTTGGTTTTGGGCAGATTTGGGCGTTTTAATCTTTTCGGTTCCCCGACGCCCCTAAACGGCTCAAGAGGCCTCCAAGATCGCCCCAAGAGGGCCCAAGAGGCCCCCAAGAGGGCTCCAAGATGGCCCAAGACGGCTCCAAGACGGCCCAAGAGGCCTCCAAGACGGCCCAAGAGGGCCCCAAGAACGCTTCAAGAACGCCCCAAGAGGGGGTTCACGAAACAGAATTTCGAGCTCTCGGCCCTTAGAGGTCCCCGGGAGGCCCCAAGACGCCCTCAAAGGCCCCAAGAGGCCCCCAAGAGGCCCTCAAGAGGCCTCAAGAGGCCTCCAAAAGGCCCTCTGGAGGCCTACAAACAACCCTCAGGAGGCCCCCAGGACGCCTCCAAGACTCCAGCCAGACGCAACTTGGGAAACGCGGGTCGGGGTGGTCCTCCTCCCCCGCGTTCGGCCTCCAGCCTCGAGCCTCGACCCTCCACGACGACGACGCCGGCGGGCGGCGGCGGCGGGCGGCGGCGGCGGCGACGACGACGACGACGACGACAAAGGCGCTCCTCATCGCTCCTCATCCCCCTCCTCCTTCCTCCTCCTCCTCCTCCTCTTCCTCCTCCTCCTCCTCCTCGTCGTCCTCCTCCTCCTCCTCCTCCGGTCCAATTAGAAAAGAGATGGTAAGAGAAACGCCTTAAGAAAGTGTTCCTTCACGCCCGTGTCCGCAACGCCAGAGGACATCAGGACGATAACAGAGCCAATGTTAGCATTCAAAGCCCGCCACCCTCCGACACGAGGGTTCCCCTATCGCATGTCTCTTCCCCCGGCTCGAACGGCCCCACAGCGGGATACCACGGGTAACACGCCCCCACGATGGCACCAAAGCCGTCAAAAAACTGCAAACACCTAGAAGCCCCATGAAAAAACATTAACACATTTATCGACAACTACACAGCTCCCGACGCCGCAGCTCCACACTGCAAACGACCACTCGGACAGGCGACCACGGTGCGACATTATGGGCCGGCGGAATGAGCGAAGCAATTAAACAAGATACCCAGCACACTCTCCCCACCATCTGCTTGCTCATGGGAGAAGGGCGTGTGTCTGCTCTGTGCCCAGAGGACGTCGCGAATGACGCTCCCGACATGATGCGCGAGGGCGGGAGGAAGTTACCGCTGGTGGGGGAGCTGGTGCCACCCGTGAAGTGCAGCGTGATGGACGGCTCTGGCTTCAGCTCGGAGCTCGGGGCCCGCAAAATGAACAAGAGAAGACCCACATGTTGGTAGACACGTGAGAAAATTGAACATGTGCCCGGAATCACACAGGCGCTTCTTACTACAATCTCGTGGCGCCAGTGCCTTCGACGAGAGCATCCAGGCTTGCTAGCGAAGGATACGCGTGAATAGAGTCTCCCATTCTTGCTTACATGGCTACCTTTTCGTTTGCTCACTTGGCGCGCGCCAGCGTTTGGTTTTCGAGGAATCGAGGGGGTGGCATCTCTTCTTCGGCGCAAGGCGGCGGAAGTACGGCGCGGCTCCGCTGGCGGAAGGCGCAGGAAGGCTGGCGGGAGCCAGCGGAGCCGCGCCAGGGCTTTCCGGAACCCGCCACGCGTGTCCTGGTAAAGGCAAAGTCCACAGGAAGGACGCGGTACTTCCGCGAGGGCACCCTCGCAGCCTTGCCTCCTCGGCCAAGCCTTGGCCAGTTTCGACATCCAAGGGCGTCCGATTTGAGGAATCCGAGGGCCCTCCGTCCTCACACTGGGTCCCTGCTCTCGATTTTGACTGCGAGAGCACCTGAAGGGTTGCGCCCTCCGCCGCTGATGCCCACGGGCCGAGCTATCTTGCGGCAGTTTCGGGGCCCTCTTGGGCCATCTTGGGGCATCTCGGGCTCATCTCGGGGCCTCTCGCGCCACCCTCTGGCCATCTTCGGGCAGTCCCATCGGGCTTCCTCTGGGTGCCATCGTGGGGGCCATCTTGGATCGCAGCTGCAATCTGGGCGGCATCCTGTGGCCTTTTTGGGGGTCGTCCTGGGGCGGTCTTCGGCACTACCGGGGGCTCCGGGGGCAGTCTCGACGCGGTCTTGGGACATCCCATAGGACGGTGAAACCATTCGATCACAATGCTGCGCAATGTGCTTCTGTTCTCTCGGCAGCGCCTCGAAGCCCTCGCTGGCCATCTTAGAATCAGGAGGGGAAAAAACACACAGACACGATGAATCGTCGAATACCAGGAAAATATGGGAAACTATGGGAAGTAGGGGGGAAGACAAAAACCCAGAAAATATCGGAATACATGGGGAATCCTGTTATTTGTGCGTCTTTATTTGTGTGTCCCTGGGCCACTTTATAGAAGCATCTTGGGGCCACACTCGGCCGCCTTGGGCTCTGGAGGCCCTCTCCTGGGGGCCGCTCCGGAGGCCTCCCGGGCTCTCTCTTGGCCGTCTGGCGGCGCTGCTGCGGGGCCCCTGCGGCAGCGCGGCGAGGCCAGAGGGCCGAGGGCGTTCCCCCCAAATGTTATGATGACCAGACTGAGGGGTCTGAGCTGGCTCGCTGTTTCCCCCTCTCCACAGCGGCGAGCATGCTTCCCCCTTGGCGAGTATGCCTGTTTGGAGCTCCACGACGTGGAGCTCGAAGCAAAGCTCCTGCCTTCTCCATCCTCACGACCTGCTGGGCATTCCCCCCCTCATTGTTATGATGACCCAACCTACAGGGTCCAGCCTGAATAAGGAACACTTGCTTTTCAAAAGGGGCTCGGTCGTTCCTTTGGTCTGCCTGCGTTCCGCCACCTTTTCGGCGGCGAGCCCCCCTTGATGCCCCCTCTCGAACTTCCTAGACTTACTTGGAAAAAGAGGGGCTTCGTTCCTTATGTATCGCTCCTTAGGTCAGGCCGAATCCTGTACTCTCTAGCCTGGACCACCAGAGAGAATTTCGAGCACCAGGAGAGTACCGAAATTGGGGGAACTGCACGTGTCGTGCCCTGGGAGGCGATGCTCGTTCGGCACTGCTTCGGTACTCTTGTCTGGGCGCTCGGAATTGTTTCCGGGGCTTGGCCCTTAAGCACGATGGGGCAGCGCTGGACCTCAACGTCGTGTTGCTGGACTTCGGCCGTGCCTTTGCTTTCCGCTCTCGGTGGGGAGGTACACGGAGACACGTAGGGCAGAACGAGAAGCAGACCGAGGACAGCATGAAAATCAACGTTTCGGTCCAGCCCTGCGATGGGAGCAGCAGAACCCCATGGTTCTGCAGCCCAGCGGGGGCCTTCGCAGCCCCGCGCTCGGCGTGCGCACCCTCCCACCGGGCAGGAGCAGCAGCCCCCCGCCGCCCTGCACGGGCTCGCGGCTCCGCCGGGCGGGCGCCGCGTCGGGTTCCGACCGTCGTGGCCGTGCTTTTCTGCCGTGCCCTCCATCAGGAGGGGAAGAAACACACAGACACAATTAATCGTCGATTTCCCAGAAAATATGGGAAAATATGGGAAGTGGTGGGGAAAACAAAAACCCCAGAAAATATGGGAAAATATGGGGAATCTTTTTATTTGTGTGTATTTATTTGTGTGTCCCAGGGCCCCTTCACTCCAGCTCACCACCCACCAAACCACCCCAACCCAACCCGAAGGCTCAAATTTGCCGTCGATTCCCAGTGGGGGGGGGTCGGGGAACATCGGAAAAACACGCGTGGAACCCTTACCCCCCCCCCCAACCCGAAATTCGGGTCTTCGGGTTGGGTTGGGGTGGTCTGGTAGGTAGTCACCAGCTGTGTCTGCGCGCACTCGACGGAGAGAACACGCCACAAAAACATACACTTCTTGCGCTCCGCGCGGGTTTCTTGGATCCGCGCTGGGCCCCCCCGGCGGCGCCTCTGGCGCCGCCGCTGGCGCGCTCCGCGCGCAGGGCTGAACCTAAACGGCGTTTTTCATGTTCGTTTGGTTGTCGTCTTCCCTTGTTTTGTCTTCAATCCGCCTTTGCCGCAAAACGAAGTCGAAACGAAAACGGCCCACGAAATCGCCAAAACACCGTTTAGGTCCAGCGCCAGGGAGGGGGGGCCAGGCCAGATCCAAGAAATCCGCGCGGAGCGCCAAATGTTTGTTTCTATGCCGTTGTCTCTTCTTCTGCGCACGCCGCCTGGGGACCCCTGGCGAAGGGAGCGCCGGGGAGGCACTGGCCCTGCCAAGCGCAGCAAGATCTCGTGCAATTGGTGTATGTATGTATGTGTATATACATGTGTATATATATACATACATACATACATATATATATATATATATGTGTGTGGGTGGGTGTGCCGCTTTGCTTTCTACACCTCGTCGCTGCGCGCGAGGCCGCGACCGCTCAAAGGTGTGTTTGTGCCTGTTCTTCTCGGCTGCCTCCCCGCGAGTCGTGCTGCGTGGTTCCCTGTGGGCGAACCAGGCGCGCCCTGCTGCTTCAGAGCTGAACCTCGCTCTCGAGCTCGGCGCTCTTCGGCAGGTAGCCTGTCTTCGCAGCGTTGTTGCGCACGTTGCCGCGACGCCAAAAAGTGCATTCGTATGTGATCTCGCAGGAGTATCCGTGTACCTGCGGTTCCGCCACGTGCTTGGTGAACCAGGCCTGCGGCGCCATCTCCAGCACATGTCGGCCCGCGGACGTGATCCAGGTCGAGTGGCCGTGCAATGGAAGCGACATCGGTGCCCCCCTCTTTCGCAAGGAAGGGAGCACGCAGAGCGGCGCGCCGTACTTCGGCAACGGTAAGACATACTTGTTCTACGATCCCAGCTGCGATGGAGTGAGCGCGACTCCTAGTAGATGGATCATCAACGACATCAAGCCGAACATCGAAGCCACCTCCGACCTGGACAATGACACCACATGCAGCTACATTGCCCGCACAGACTCGGAGGCGCTGAGTGGTCCCCCGTCCGGCAAGTGGAAGGCAGGGGTCGACCCAAACGGTGTTTTGGCGATGTCGTGGACCGTTTTCGTTTCGACTTCGTTGTGCAGCAGAGGCGCAACGAAGAGAAACGAGAACAGGACGAAGACGAAAAGACTGTTCTGGCCGAGCCCTGGTGGAAGGTGGCCTGCGACAGAGCATGGAAGACGATGGAGGTAAAGATCACGATGGCGAAACGCTGACGGCCGCATCGATGGCCGAGCTGCGTTCGCGGTCTGCGGTGCGCGATCTTCGGAGGCCTTCCCGGGAATGATCACGTGCGTGCTCCCTTGTTTTTGATGGTATGCCTACTCCGAGTTCTCTGGCCTTGACATGCTCACACAAACGCGTTCTTTGGACATCGATCACCAGGGACTCACACACCTGACTCGCACTCAGCAAGCAGACTCTACTTTTGCAGCATGCACACCGGATGGAGAACGTACGTAAGCGCTTACCAGACATGCATCTACACATCTATATACAGTCATTTACATATGCACTTTGACCGCGCCCTTGAAAAGCGTAAGAGCTGCCGCCGCTGGGCTTGCCCTGTCAGCCTGGTGACGCTGCTGGGCATCTTGGCCAACAGACGAAGTTGCGTACACAAAATCCTCATCCGTCGATTTACCTATTGCTGCCTGGCTGCATTGGGCGTTTGTGCAGGATGCTGCATAGTTGCGTACGCCCGATCTGGCCTGATACGCCCTAAATTGACATGGGGTGAATACTGATGTCGTGCTCTTCTATTCTGCTTCTAACTCTCTGACGGCATCTTCATCGCCAGCCCTGTATCTGCACTTCTGCGCTGGTCCCTGTCATACTCATCCTCGTGCCTGTCAGAACAGGTCCGTCGGGGGAAGGGCCGGTGCCTACAGTTCACCCTGGCGGCTTTGGTGCCCTGCTGCACTTCTAATCGTCAGTCTTGGGCGCCTCACTATCGGCCCTGCCCATCCGTCTCCTGCGCAGGCTGCAGGGTGCACACACCAGAAGCGTAGAGCTCTGCCCATCCCCCCTCCTCCTTGGAGGGCGCATCGGGGGCGGAGAGCGGAGAGTGGGCGTTCATCAGGAGGGAAAGAAACACACAGACACAATCAATCTTCGATTTCCTGGAAAATATTGGAAAATATGGGAAGTGGTGGGAAAGACAAAACCCCAGAAAATATGGGGAATATTTTTATTTGTGTGTATTTATTTGTGTGTCCTGGGGCCCCTTCAGTTCAGTCTGAGGCCTCTGGGCGATGGGTCCGAGTAACTAATCAGTCCTGGTGGCGCGGACCTGCACCCGAACTCGCGAGCCGCAATCGTTCCTGACTGCGCGCCCCTTGAGTATCGGCACCGAAGACAGAACAAATCATACGAACCCATTTTAAAAAAGCACGTGAGGAGCATCGATGGTTTGCGCCTCTTGGGGTGCAGGCACGCGCATGTGGCGATCAGGGGTCCCTTTCAGGAATGGCGATCAGAGCGACAAATCTAGCTGCATGTCCGACATTCGATCATTGTGTGTGTACTCTTCGCGTGTGCAAGGAGCGGGAGGAGGGGGATGTCGAACAACCGCTTAAACCCTTGGCTGTCATTGATCGCCCTATCAGACAACCCGTTATTTTTAACGACAGCCTTGGTTTTTCATGACGACCCTCTTCGTCGTGACTTTCTCATGACGTGGGCCCCCAGAGGTCTCCGGACCTCTTCCCGGGGACCAGCTTTTCCTCCCGAGTCGTCCCTTGACGGTCACCAGGCCCCCGCAAAGCCGAAAGCGAGTGACACGCATGCCCTGGCCCTTGCACGAGGGAGGGCGAGGGCCAGGCGAGGCGGAGCGAGGAGGGCGGGAGGGTTCTTGGGGCCACCTTGGTGCTCTCCTGGGGCAAGCATGGCCACCATGAGCAGGCAGGGGCAGGGGAGGGGCCTGTGGGGGCCACCCTGGTGCTCTCCTGGGGCAATCATGACCATCATGAGCACGCAGGGGCAGGGGGGGAGGAGGAGAGAAACACGGCGCGGTCCTCCTCCGCCTCGTCCTCCTCCTCATCCCTCCTCCTCCCTCCTCCTCCTCCTCCTCCTCCTTCTCCTCCTCCTCCTCCTCTTCCTCCTCTTCCTGCTCCTCCTCCTCCTCCTCCTCCTCCTGCTCCTCCCCATCCTCCTCCTCCCCCTCCTCCCCCTCCTCCACCTCCTCCTCCTCCTCCTCCTCCTCCACCTCCCCCTCCTCCTCCTCCCCCTCCTCCTCCTCCTCTTCCTCTTCTTCCTGCTCCTCCTCCTCTTCCTGCTCCTCCCCATCCTCCTCCTCCTCGCCTGTGGGGGTCCGTGGGGGCAACGAGCGAGCGCGCGAGCGACGGCGAAAATACAGGGAGCGCCAGAGCACGGCCCTATCCCCAGACAGCCGGCTGCTCCCATTTTTCTGTTGATGCGGTGGCTCTGGAGGTCTGGACCGCTGCCCTGAGGGCCGAGTTCTCGCCCCGAGTCGCTTCTTGGGCGGCCCCGAGGCCCGGCGAGGGCCCCCGGAGGCCCAAGACTGACCAAAAGTCCGCCGCTCAAGATCGTTTCGGAGCGCCTGATCTCTCGGCCCGTTGTTTTTTGCGTCGCTCACCTGGCACTCCCCGCGGGGGCCCGCTTCTCCCTGCGCCGCTCGCTTCTCCGCCGCCCGCGGCCCGCCTCCCTCCGCGGCACCTCCTGGCGCGCGCGGCCGGTCACCGCCGCCGCGTCTCCGCTCACTTGGCCAGGGAGCCCGACGACGACGACGACGACGACGACGACGACGACGACGGCGACGGCGACGACGACGACGACGACGACGACGACGACGACGGCGACGACGACGACGACGACGACGACGACGACGACGACGACGACGGCGACGACGACGACGACGACGACGACGACGACGACGACGACGACGACCGTCGTGATTTTTGGCGCGGGGGTTGGCTCTGGGACCGCCCGCCTCGGCCCCGCGCCGCTTCGGCCCGCGCGCCTCCCGCCTGCCCACGGGGCGCGCAGCGGGTGCAGAGAGCACGCCCTCCCCAGGACCCCCTCGCGCTGTGAGAAAAATCACGACGGGAGGGTTTTCGCCATCTTCGGCCTCCGGGGGCCCCCTTCCTGGGCCTCGGGGCCGTCCGAAAACGACTCGGGATGGGAAGCCGGTCCCGGGGAAGGGGTGCAGACCTCTGGGGGTCGACGTGGCGAACAAAATCACGACGTCGGGGGTCTGGGTCTCCTCTCGGCCGCCCGCCGGGGCACGCCCGCCACCAGCCTGGCACGCTGGGTGGAGGACGGCGCCCGCTGCAGCAAGCTTCCCAGAGATCCGGCGCTCCAGAAAAAAAAAATTGGAGCGGCGGGTTTGGGGCAATTTTCGGCCTCTGACCGGGACCCTCGCCGGGCCTCGGGACCGTCCAAAAACGGCTCAGGGCGCAAGATCGGCCCTGGGGAGGTGGTCTGGACTTCCGGGGCCCGCGCATCGAAAAATCGGAGCAGCCGGATGTCTGGGTTTCCCCGGGTCCCAGTCCCAGACATGCTCGCGTCGTTGAGGCATTAGGGCGGGAGATGTTCGGCCCAATCTGAAGCCCCTGCATGAGGGCCCTCGCCGGGCCTCGGGGCCGTCAGAAACGCCTCAGGATGGCAAGCCGGCCCTGGGGAAAGGGCCAGAGCTTTCCCCAAGTCCCAAAAAGCCACATTACCTCAAGTGCCTCCCTTCCTCCCTCCCTCCCTCCCTCCTGGCCCTCTCTTCCTCCCTCCCTCCACCCCCCTCCCTCCCTTCCTTCCTCCCTCCCTCCACCCCTTCCTTCCTCCCTCCCTTCCTCCCTCCCTCCCTCCACCGCGCCCTCCTTCCTCCCCCCCTCCCTCGGCGCCTCCCTCCCTTCCTCCCTCCCTCCCTCCACCCCTCTCTTCCCCCCCTCCCTCGCGCCCTCCTCGGCGCGCTCCCGCACGCGCCCTCCCGGAGCGCGCGCTGCCGCGCGCGCTCCTCTCTGGGGGGGGGGGGGCCCGACTGCGGCCAGATTCGCCGCACTTCGGTCGATTGTCATGTCAAAGTGTGTCGGAAGCGCACCCCAAGCGATGCAAAACCAGTATGGCGGGAAGTTTCGCCTTGGTCTTCAAAGGAGAGGCTGGATCTGATGTGTTGTGCATTTGGCTCGCAGGCATCCTGTTCGTGCGGGAAGGCTGCTAGAACGACACAGCCCGAGGTGGCGGCGCCAACCCTGTCTGCCTGCACGCGCGTCGGATACCGGAGGCGGTGACAACAAAAAAAAGAAAGGCGGGAAGTTTCGCCTCAGGGGAAGCAGGGCGGACTTTTCCGCAGAGGCACGGGGGGAACAGCGACGGCAAAGCAGGGGCATCGGCTTCAGAGGAGCTTGAAAAGCAGGGCGGCAATTGTCGCCCTGCTTGCGAAGTCGCTCAACGTGAGGCGGATCTGAGGTGAGGGTTGCTCCAGCCCTGGATCCTGTCGACCCAGACGTCCCACGTCTTGAGAACAGCAGGCTTGAGCTCTGGGCGATTTTGCAACCACAGAGGAAAGAAAAACGAAACGAATCCTGGAGAGCCCATCTCCGTCACCAGACCCACTCGATCCGCCCTCCGCACCGCCCGCCCGTCCCCCGTCCCCGCCTGGCGACGGTGGTATGGAGGTGGACCCCCCAGTTCAGCAGGCAACAGCGAGCAAATACGCTGCCATTCCTGGTGCTGTATTCGATGCCGCAGAACGACGTTGCAGTTTTTTCTCACTGGGCGGTTTCGCCTGGTCTCGAGCCCGGGGGCCACCACAGATCGATTCGGCCTGGAAGTTGCAGCAGAACGATGGGGTCCAGGGCTCCAGTCGTTGCCAATCACTCTATCACGATGCCTATTGTTTTCGCAGCGTCGGATTCCAAGGAAGATGCAAGCTGTAATTAAGTTGTTCGCTGGTGTCTGCCTCCTGGGGATTTTCACCGGGTCCCAGGGCCGTCTGGGGATCCCGTGTGGAAGGAGCAAGACATCGGATGTCTGGGAACCACAGATTTCCGACGATTGTTTCGTTGAAGTCCGGGCGTTGTTCTTCAAGTCTGGACTTCAATGACGCCCGGTGGACGAGAACGGTGGAACCCAGGAGGGCAGCGGGCTCGCGCCAGCCCTGGGCGTACTCCTGGGCGGTCACACGCAACGGCACTCGCGGACGCCCTTCACTATACCTCAGGGCGCCCCTCGGAGCCCCACCCCTCCTGGCCACGGGGCTGGTCGGCTCCTCCTGCGCACCTTCGTGTGTGCGCTGATACCGCCTTGGACGTGCCCAGCTGGGGCTGGCGGCCCGTCCCAGGCCTTAGAGTCCCTCCCAGGGCGCCACTTTGCGGCCTCTCTCCCCCTGGATGACTGCCGCCCCCGCCCCCCCCGCACGCTGTAGGCGGCTCGGGGATTGGTCCCTTCCTAGTGGGCCCCAGTTACTGCTAGAGCCCCTGCGGCAACCCCTTTGCAGCCCCGTGCTGCCCCGCATACTGGCGCCGGCCCTCACTGACCATCCAGCCTGGCGGCCCGGCCCCGAACCCTTCCCGCCCGGCTGCTTCGCAATCTGTCCACACTCACTGCGGCTGTTAGCCGCCCCCCTTGCCTCTCGCACCTGCCTCGCGTTGCTCTCTCTCTCTCTCTCTCGCTCTCTCTGTCTCTGTCTCTCTCTCTCTCTCTCTCTCTCTCTCTCTCCACCACGTCTCCACTACCCGCGGGTGTTTGCCATAGGCGCCACTCACACTCTGCCCGCGCCCTTGTTGCTCCACCCCGGGGGGGCCAGGGCCTGCGCGCAGCGGTCTCATCGTGCACCCCCGCCCCCACTCTACGGCTCCCCGCCGAGATGCTCAGGTCCGATCGACTTACTATCTTCGCGGCTGTTAGCCGCCCCCCCTCTCAGCGTGGCTCCCTTCGCCGCGTCCACCAGGGGCGCTAACTCACACATGCCTGTCTCGACGACGTGCCGACGCCCCCCCCGGGGCGTCGAGGCAAGCTGACTATAGGCACCCCGGTTCGACTGCACCTGCTCATCGGCTGTTAGGTGCGGCCCCACTCGCAATAGTGCACCCATTCCCCGCGGCTGTTAGCTGCGACCCCACTCGCTCACCACAATTTTCTGCGGCTGTTAGCCGCCCCCCCTCTACGGCACGCCCCAGGCCCTCCGTGCTCCCCCTTGGGCGCTCGGGCCTGTGGGTCCTTCGTTATACGTCGGCTGTCCCGCGGCGGCCCTGATGGACGGACTGGGTCGGCAGCTTTCGATACTCCTGGTCGGCTCTCGCGACAGGAGCTTTCGTGCCCTTCCTGCCCATGCCACTTCGTCGGCTCGTTTTGGCGGTTGCGATATTGGGTCGCAGGGTCATGGGCGCGTTTATTCCACGCTTGTCCACGCGGCGGGCTCACGCCGTTCGGCTCACGGTATCTGATTGATGCCGACTCGCAGGCCGCATGCGGTTACACGTTGCTGCGCGCATATTCCGAAGACGACGGATTCCTGGTGCGTTTGGGCGTGGTCGCAGGCTTCTAAGCTGTGCCGCGTTAGTCGCCCGTCCTTCTTCACTGCCCGTCCGCCGCCCGAGCTCTCCCCCCTGCCCTGCCTTATTTTCCACGCTTGCCAGCTGTTGCTTAAGCTCTCGCCCTGCACGTAGGCCTGGCTTCATTCGGCTGTTGACGCCGCGCGGCTGCCCGCTCGCGGTTGCGAACAAGAAAGTAACCGCGCCAGCCCATCCAGAAACGACGCCCAGACGAGTTGCCCTGATTGGGGACGTGGAAAGGCGTGCAGTGGAGCAAAGGGCTGCGTAAGACGTCATACCCCAAGAGGGGGAAGATGGAGGAGGAACTGGAGGAGGAGCAGCAGCAACAGCAGCAGCAGCAGGAGGATGAGGAGTAGGGAGAGGGGGAGGAGGACAAGTTAGGTGCGCTCGCGCCTCATCTGACATCGCATCCCTCCCTCCCATATCTTCCCATTGCGCAGATTGATTATATGTTCGCAGGCGCGTGTCACAGCCGACCTGCAACTCCAGCCAAAAGACCGCAACGTGTTATGAGCAATTGGAAAACGAGGAGTTTCGTGCACACGAGGCATAGGAGGTGGCGGGTGAGCAGGAGGGTGAGCAGTAGGAAAAGGACGAGTACGAACGACAGCAGCAGCAGCAGGAATTGGAGTAGAAGGAGCGGGAGGAACAGGACGACCAGGGGAAGGCGGAGGAGGGGAAATAATGGGGCTACAACCATGAAGAGAGACTCAGATCCAGAAAAGTGGCCCACGCTGGGGCGAGAGCGCCAGTCTGAACGACGGGAGCAAAGCGCCGATCCGAAAATGAGGCCCACGCAACTGGAGCGTCGTTTTTAAACACCGATGGCCCGTCAGGGCCCCCAGGGAACGAGCGTCAAGAGAAACCTCCGCCCCGAGACTCGAGATTCAGCCCCGAGAGCCGGTAAGGGCCCCCCAGGGACGAACGTTGAGAATCATGCTTGCTTCGGGTTTCTCGAATATCCTCCCGAGTCGTTTTTGACTGCCCCGAGGGCTGACAAGGGCCTCCCAGGTGACGAACACTGAGAAAAACCTCCGCCTCGAGTTTCTCGAGACTCCTCTCAAGTCGTCATTTGACAGTCGCGAGGGCCGGTAAGGGCCCCCCAGGGGACGAACGTTGAGAAAAACTTCCGCCTCGATTCCCTGGAGACTCAGCCCGAGACGTTTTTTGACCGCCCCGAAGGCCAGCAAGCGCGCGGGGACGAACGTTGAGAAAAACCTCCGCTTCGAGTCTCTCGAGAGTCAGCCCGAGCCCTTTTTTGACGGCCCCGAGGGCCAGAAAGGGCCCCCATGGGGACGAGCGTTGAGAAACAATTCCGCCTCGAGTCTCTCGACTCAGCACGAGCCGTTTTTTGACGGCCCCAAGGGCCTTTAAGGACCCCCCCGGGGACGAGCGTTGAGAAAAGCCTCCGCCTCGAGCTTCTCGAACCGCCGGAGGCCAAGGCGAGGGCGAGGCCTGGCGAGGAGGTCAAGAGTCTCGGGTTGCCGAAAAGGAGGAGGTTGAGCCACTGGTTCGCAACCGTCGAGCCCGAGAGCCACAAACTGACCATACGACGCGACGATGGAACGGCACGGCACGGCACGACACGACACGACCACCGCGGCACGGCACGGCACGTCGTCGCAAGCCCCGCGGCGCGGCATGGTGCCGATTTGCCGACATCGGGCCGAGCGACGGCACAGCACGGCACGGCATGCTGACGCGCGCCACACGGGGTCTTCCTGGCCCCCTCCTCGTGTTCCTCCTCCATTCCTCTTCCTCCTCCTCCTCCTCCTCCTCCTCCTCATCCTCCTCCTCCTCCTCCTCCTCCTCCTCCTCCTCTTCCTCCCCATCCTCCCTCCTCCCTCCCTCAGCCATTTTGCGCTCGGGCGCGCCCCCTTTCGCCTGCAGGAGGCCCCGAGTGTACTGACACTTAGACTTCAGAGTGGCCACGAATGTCGGAGCCAACGGATGGTTGCCAGCAAGAGCAATGGCAGCAGCAACACGACGTGGCAGTGCGGGCCGTGCAACGTCAAGAATGGAGCGAAGTACAAGTACTGCTGGAAGTGCTGGGGTGCACGCCCGACAGCAGCAGCCGCAGGATCTTCCAGCGCGGCGGCAGGAGAGGCCTCCGAGGACAAATGCCACGACGAGAAGCTCGCCAAGGTGCAGCACTACCGTGCCAAGCTGGCCGAGCTTAGAAAACTCGCCGAGGACCCGTTCCTGGAGGAATCACTGCAGCCGCAGGTGGCACAGCTCGAGGACAAGCTCGCCGCCGAGCAGGCATCACTGGAGACAGGAGTGCCACGATGCTTCACCGAATGCAGAGTGGTGCGAGACAGGAACAGGGTCGCGGAGCAGAAGAACAAGAGCCAGCAGAGGATCGACGCGCTCCAGGAGCAGAGGGACGCGCTCGAAGAGAAGCTTGCCGAGGAGAAGAGCAAGCTGGGCAAGTTCGACAGCAAGCTCGAGACCCTGGACAACAAGATCAAGGAACTGTCCGTCCCCGCCCCAGGGAAGGGATGGGCGGCAGCGCTCGCCTTCCTGGAGCAGGCGGAGCGCTGCCTCGGCGACGACGGGAGCGAGAAACGGGAGCAGCTTGTCGCCGCCGTCGCCCACGCCAAGGGGCAGAAGGCACAGGAAGAGGAGCGTGCCAAGCAGCACGCCGAGCGCCTCCAGCAGAAGGCCAGAGCGGAGCAGGCCCGCGCAGCCAAGGGGCGGGCTGGCAGCGCCGACAACCGCGAGCGCAGCTGCCCCGAGAGCCCCATCAAGGAGGAGCTCCTCGAGATCCCCGCGGGCGCCAGCGAGCAGGACATCTGCAAGGCGCTCGTCGACGTGGGGGTCACGCGCGACCAGGCTGGCAAAGTGGTTGCTCCTCTTAAGCTGCTGGTGGGCGAGCTGCAGACTGGCCACACCCTCACCATCAGCAGAACCCAGTGGGTGCAGCAGCAGCGAGGGTAGCGGCGGCACCAACCGCCGCTGCCCGAAGGGGCGACTCGCCGTGTACACGGCCAACGCCAACATGGTGAGCTCGCTGGAGCCAGTGAGGAAGCATATCAGGGACAGCTACCAGGACGCCATCGTCCTGGGCCAGGAGCTGCAGGCCAGCGGCACGCAGATCGACCTTCCCCAGACCCGCATGTGCAGAGAGGGCTGGGACATCGGTCTAGTGGGCAGCGCGAAGACCACAGCTGGTCACAGCGCTGGAGTTTTGAGAGCGACGCCACGGAGTAGGGGCATGGACTTCGTGCGCAAGGGGATCAACCAGTGGGGCATCAGCCCGCGAGAGTCCAAGGGGGGGAGACTCGCCGTGGCCTGGGCCGACGCACACAGCAAGGAGGGGCCCATGCTAGGCGCCGCGTACATGTGGAACAGCGGGGGCCCCACGCAGAGAAACCAGCGCATCCTGGCCAAGTGGGGCGCAGCCACGAATGTGATCCAGAAGGAGAGGATCCTCGATGGCGACTGCAACATGGACCCAGAGGTGCTGGAGCAGTCCGAGATCGCCCGCAAGATGAACGGCGTCATCGTGCGTGACACTCAGCAGGACAGCTGCCTGAAGCAGGATGGCACGTCCAGCACGCGCGACTACTTCAGAGTCTCGCGCGGCTTGGCGGCACCCACGCTCAAGGTAGAGGTCCAAGATGGAGACAACCTGTCGCCGCACTTGCCCGTCAGGATGAGGGTCCCAGTGCACCAGCAGAGCGACTACATGAGGAACGTGCTGTGCAAGCGGACGACATGGCCGCCGACGCGGCCAAGGGGCTGCCCCTCGCAGCCAGCGCGGTGGCCAAGGCCGCTCGCACACAGGAAGTACACTCAGAGCCAGATCGACTGCCTCTGGAGCGAGCTCGGCGAGGCATACGAGAAGCACCTCAGCAGGTACCGCAGCTTCGAGGGCGACGACTGGAGCAAGCGGCAGGGCCACTTCGAGAAGGCCAACTACAAGCAGAAGCCGTGCAGGCCCATGCCCTGCACCGCGGCACAGGAGCAGCCACTCAGCCACGACATCGTCATGCTTCGCGGAGCGGGCACCTGGGCAGAAGGTCGAGGTAGGCCACGACACGGGCGAGGAGGACGGGCTGCTGGAGTCTGAGGGCGCCCCTCGGGAGGAGGCGGAAGGGGTACAGGACCGCTTCGCGGTCTGAGCGCCTCCCACCGAGGGCCAGCAGAGCCCCAATACTTGGAATACGATTCGCCGGCCGTTCATCGTGCACACGCTGCGAGACGGGCGAGTCACACACATCGACGAGTGCGCCCAGAACTACCTGGGCCCCATTGCCACGCTGCTGGGCCCCGCCAGCAGGAGGTACTGGAAGATGGTGCACCGAGCGGCCGCAGCGCAAGGGCGGCTGTAGGCCACCACGCAGGGAGAGCGAGGAGCAGAGGGCGCGGAGGGCAAGGCGATCACCATGGCCTCGACCACCGCGCGGCAGGACGGCCTCGCCAAGGGAGCGCACCCGCTCGGCATCAGGATGGTGACACACGCCGGCCACCTCGGCGCCACCACCGCTGACGGCAGGAGGAGACGAGCTAGCGCCCACAGCAAGAGGGCCAGCAAGCGGGTAATACGTGTGGGGCGAGCCAGAGCCCCATGGCAGAAGGTGCGAGGGCCCGCAGGGACCTTCATCGCCACGGTGCAGAGGTTGGGCTGGAAGACGCTCGCGGCCCACAGCATCACCATCGGCGACGAGCACTTAGACCTCCGGACGTTGCCGATCAGACACCTGAGGCAGTGCATCACCACGGCCATGGAGAACGGCCTCATGAGCGACTGGCTGCGCATACACGGCAAGAAGCACGGCCTGGACAGCATCGCCGCGGAGCCCATCGCCGCGCTGCTCAAGAGGCCGCTGAGCAAGAAGTGGACTCGGGAGTACCAGACACGGGCGCGCAACCTGCGGTGCGACGGAACCTGGCCGCAGCGGCGGGCCCTCGACAAGGGTGCCGCAGAGGACAGCGTAGGCAAGGCCTGCCATGAGCACGAAGTGACGGACCGCCACGGGACGTACGCGTGCTCAGCCAGGCAGGATCACCGACGAAGAGTGGGAGGGCACCACATATGCCAGCGTGGTGCCAGGACGCGGCCTGGAGCGACGGAGAATCAGTACGCGACCTCCGAGACGCTCTGGGTCAGAGGGCTCGCAGCGGACTCATCGCTGGAGTACGACCTCTGGAGCTTGCCCTCCTCATCCACATGCGAAGCGGGGGGCGCCTTCGACGGCCTCGTGCACGGGGCCATCTACACAGACGGCTGGGCAGACGTGAAGCTCGACGGAGAAAGCATGATGGAGATTGAGTTGTTCGGGGCACTGAAGGGATCGCAGCACGACCAGAGCTACAAGAGCGAGCTGGCAGCGGTCCTCCAGGCGGTGCCTCCAGTGCAGGTCTACAGCGACCGCCAGACGGCGATCGACGGCGTCGCCAGAGTCGTGAATATCGACGGAGAGCGCATGATGGAGTTTGAGTTGTTCGGGACACTGGAGGGATCGCAGCACGACCAGACGATCTAGGAGAGCGAGCTGGCAGCGGTCCTCCAGGCGGTGCCCCCAGTGCAGGTCTACAGCGACCGCCAGACGGCGATCGACGGCGTCGCCAGAGGCCCCGAGCGGGCCGCCAGAGCTGACACGACCCACAAAGAGGCCGGGCAGGAATGCAGGCTGCTCGTGCAGGAAAACGGCGGGACAGGTGAGCAAGGGATAAGCCGTTGTAGAGTCCGAGCCCACGCCACTAGGGCCCAAAGAGCCATGATAGGGCCCCAGCAGTTCTTTGGGAATAAAATAGATGACGCCGACGCAAAGCGTGGGGCGCAATCGCACCAGCACGAGGCCGACAGGGCCACGTATGTTCAGAGGTTCCAGGCGGTCTCAGAATTTCTGGAATTCGCCGCGCACATCGGGGTTCTCGGCCACGAGCGCGAGGTCACCTCCGAGGGCCCTGAGCCCTCTGGGGCCCAGGGCAGCCCCGCCCCCGCCCCGACGCCCAGTGAGAGAGTGGAGAGCCATGCTGGCACTCCACCGCCCTCACAGGGCCCTGTGGACCCCCCTCCTTGGCCTCCCGCGGGGCTCGGAGCGTTGATCCAGCGGGCCCAAGCCGAAGGCCACCAGACGGCGCGCCTTCAAGCAGTGGTCTTCGGTCGGAAGTGCGCAAGGCACGCCACAAGCCGATGGAGGGGTCTAGGGACCAGCGGTCCAGGGGTAACTCCTCGGGTCCCCGCTGGACGTTTGAACCGTTTGTGGCAGGGCAGTCACCCCACCACGAATCATGGTATCGGAGGCCTCAGATTGCCCAGGACAGGCCTGGGATGAAGGGCACCTCCGTTTTCGTGCGTAGTCGCCTCGCCTTCGGCCGATTCGACTATCCGTTGCGAGCGAATCCTCAGCGAATCCTCCCTCCCTCCTCCTCCTCCCTCCTCCCTCCTCCCTCCTCCTCCTTCTCCTCCCCCTCCTCCTCTTCCTCTTCCTCCTCCTCCTCCTCCTCCTCCTCCTCCTCCTCCTCCTCCTCCTCCTTTTCTTCCTCC